AGACAGCTGCCTAAATGGTTTGCAAACCAAAGTTTGGCCAAGCTTTGTATGAAATATTCGTCACGCCCCGCTCGCCAAAGTCTTGCAGAGTACGCCGTGCTGTCTCCACTCACTTGAGACCCACTGATTCGGAGGAAGCGGATCGCATGGGTCAAGTAGAACTGAGCCATCCCCGCAGAACTGAGCGGCATTGCCTTGACTGCGGTAGAATTGCTTTCCACTTCCAACGTCACTCGAAGCCCTGCATTCGCGTATGCGCGCGTATGCGCGTATGTGCTGATAGCGCCTGGCGTTGTTGATCGAATGACCACCAGGGCGTCCACTCCCGCCCTCTGAAGCTGAAGAAGGATGTCGAGAAAGTCCGTATCCTCCGTCAGACCGCTGCCTCCAAATGGCTGATCGCCTGCTTGATGCTGTCTATGCTGCAGCAGTCAGCATCCACCAGTAGCTCTGTCCTTGACGATGCGCATTTCACCCCTCTGCCACGAAGAGACCTGAGCAGCGCGGCGCTGGCCCCAGCAAGCCACGTGGGCCCAAGGTTGCCGATGCTGCCGATGTTGCCGCGAACCGACGCGCCGCCACATCCATACTTTCCCAATGGCCGCTCAGTGGTTCTCTGGCGGCCTGGCACTGCACTGAGAGATGCCGTCAGGCTGTTCAATGCGAAAGGCAGCCCGCATTGCGACATCTTAACTCATGGGTTCGAAAACTTTTGCAAAGTTGGTTGTTCAGGCTGTGACCAAGGGATGTCTCGCTTCTTTCACACACAGATAGGTTGTTGCGCATGAAGCCCGCACACGACGCTAATTCAACCAAACCGATGGTCTCAGGTCTCCCTCGCATCACTTGATCCGACAGCACCGAAGGCTGGCAAAAGAAGCAAACATCAACGTCACGCGGCCCGTGGAAAGACTACTCGGCCAGCCATTTTCACCACACCCTGCTTTTCAAGAGGTTTCCCGTGCGCATAACTTGAGACAATGGACTCAAAATCCAAAACCACCGTGTAACCTCAACCCTTGGGCTCTCGGACCTTTAACAAAAGTTCTGAGCCACAGCCAATCGGCCAGTCAAAGCTTCCTGTTCGTTCGCCCACTTCAATGGAAAGCTTTCAATGGCGCCAATGTGGCGGCCAGCGGATACCTGGAAAAGCGCTGGGGCATGAGGTATGACGACGCCGGCCTCAAACAAAGTCTCAACATAGCTTGCAGCTTCTGTCAGTGGAACCTTGCACCGACAAAACCAAACTGCTCCCACAGCCTCAAACATGGCATGAAAACCTCAGGCCGCGGCCCTTCAGCATCTAAGAGACCGATTGAGATCGGCGCCCCAAATGAATCACTTCAATGGTCAATGTTGCCCCCAGTTCCAAAAGGATTGGCACACCGCGAGCCCGATCAAAATCAACCTGGAGAGCGGACTGCTCTTGTTACGATGTCTGGACAGGGCACGTGGATTTGTCAAGCCTACAGTGAGGGGATCGTAGATTATCCACCTTGCCGTGGCAATGGCGCCTGGTTTCTGGTGTAAATACCTGTCCAGCACTCATGGACGTGAACTGGTTGGGGCGCAGAAATGATTCCCCTTTTGGTGGTGGCTTTGTGCTTCAAGCGGACGTTGGCACCGTCAAACCAGCTAGGACCCGAACGCACTGCCCATGGCCTCTGGGTTGCCTCAGTTTTTGGGCGCTCACCTCCCCCCACCCCGCAAAATTCCTCACAAAAATACATGCCTTTTTTCAGTAACCACGGAAAATTCACATATCTTGCCACACAAAACATGTCTTTCAATACCTCGACGCCGGATTTGCCTCATCCACGATCAGCGCATTGAGGCGCGGCACCGCCCCGCCCGAGGGCTTCCGGATCGTGATGTCGTAGCCTCCCGGCTTGGGCTCCTAGCGAGAACTTCGAAGTCCAACGGGGGCCTTTTTGGTTGGACCGGGCTCCTTCCATTTGGTTTAGACCCCTGGAAAAATACCAAATAGTTCACGTAGTGATAGGCTCCCTTTAAAACCAACAGGGGGAAAACACATTTTTTGAAGCAAATGGAAGCAAATCGAACGAAGGTATCCGGGTCCCCGAGCACTCAGTGCGCGACCGAATCCGGGAGTTTTTGGGGTGGCCAATCAAAAAGCACAGCAACAACTTGTGTGGGGGAGACTCTGAAAAAGGCGTTGGTTATTTTTCTGTGGCGTCCCCTTAAAAGCAGCCCGCAAAAAAAATGACAGACCCAATTAGATATGGAACCCCAAAACTGGCTTCGCTGAAGTTCTGTCCCACCTTCGTGGGACGGATCCGCATGTGTTCTCAGCTTCCTTCCAGTTGGTCCACCAAAAGGCGTGGCACCCTTTGGCCGAAAGACATCGAAGTGCACTCCTCCCCAAAACCCGCCTGAGCTTCGTGGTCGCCCCGTTGGCAAACATGCAGCTAAAGGCTTTGTTGGTTCTGCTACAAGTCAGAACAAAAGTGGCTGTCGGGTTTTTCTACTGGTCCATGTAGTTCTTAGACACCATTCGAAGACAAACTATCCCAGGACGATGATCATAGTTCCTAGCAAAAGGGCCGGCCTTCGATCCGTCTGAAGTGAGGCCCTAGAACCCTGACCAATTGGTCGGCCCGAAAAAACACAAAAACCACAAAAACTTTGGACCCCGTAACCAGAAAACGGGTGCCCAGAAAGGGCAACTTTGGAGCCTTTCGTGCTTCAAATTGCCGAGGCCCAGGTAAGCCTGGTGTAAGGCAAATGGAGAAATGGTTAAAGCAAAACTTAGAAGGGGTTCTCAGAAGGGTTTGTTAGATGCTTTCTCAGAAGAGTGTCCTAGATGTTTTCTTCTTTTTCCCTGAAGGGGGTGGAAAGAGGCATGGATGTCTTTCCTGGTAGGTGGAAAGGGATGTCCGTCTTGATTTGTTATGGTCCGATTTTGGGTAGACCCCTCTAGATTGTGATCAGTTGGATCAGAAGGGCTGGATTGTGATATTTGGAGTCAGAGTGCAACAGGGACATTGAACATACCCCAAAAAACCTATCTGGTGTCTTAAAATAAAGGGACCTCCCCCCAAACATGTTTTTGTCTGTTTCCCCTTGAACCAGCGCAAACAGGGTACCCTCAAAAAGAGGAATCCATGTAATACTGGCCATCCGCTTTGGTACTTTGGCGTCTCTAGTTGATGGACCAGGTGTTTCCTCTAACCCCAAACGAGTACCTCACACACACACACACACACCCGCATGCCTGTTTGGAATATCATCAAATTTGCCAGCCTGGTCCTTGCCTTGTTTGGACTGTCAACCTTCATTGCCCGTGTTTGATTGCGACGCAGCGAATGTGACCGACTCGATGAATGAACCACTGGTTGATTTATGAGATATCCAATTCCAGACAAATCAGCTGCTTATTGGTTTCCCTCAACGCAATTTGTGGGATCACCAAAGTGACACCCCGAAAAGAATCCCCTCAACACGGTGGCGTAAGGTCAAACCACCTCCCACAAGCCGTTCTTAAGAGCACCTGTCTCGCTCCCTCTTCTTCCTTTTGGTTTCCCTTTAACTGGCCCCTTCTTTTCACCATTCTCAACATCACCCCCGAAATGGGGCAGAGAAAAGGAACCCGTCCACCAGTTTCTGACCTTCATACGACATACGCACCCCCGGTTTTAGCACAGAGTAACAACCAGTCTCTGACTTTCATACAACATATTGCACCTTGGTTTTCACACGAGCCGCCCCCCGTCGGACTCCCATCCCCATCGCTCCGGCGGCTTCTCCGCCATCGCCGGCACCGGCGCGGGGCGCAGCGCGAGCACCGCCGGCACCGGCGCCGGCTTCGGCGCGCGCCGCGCCAAGCGCAGCGCCGCGCCGCGGAGCGCCATGGCGGGGCGGGGTGGAGGCGAGGAGCGGCCGGCGAAGTTGGCCTTTGAGTTGTTCTGTTTGGGTTTTCCTTGTTGTTAGTCTAACCAAAAAAAGTCTAGCCAAATATATATATATATAAATGAACACAACCGAAAAGCTACCAAATGCAAAACTAACACATGCTAACAACAGCGAAGAGTCCTTGTTTTGTTTTTGTTTTTTGTGCTTGTGCTTCACTTTTTTGTTGTTTGCAGTTCTCTGCACGGGGGCAGTTTTGTATTAGCTTTTGGGTGGGTGTGAGCAATTGACTGTGCGGCTTGGCTTGCTCGGTGATTGGTTGCGACATGGGGTATTTGCTAGTTTGAACTGGTTTGGGCCTAGCGATGTCCACCAAACCCTTCGACTCAGACAGCAAAACGGTCGTGGCGGTATGAGTCAAAGAGGCGGTTTGATGTAAACGAAAAACCTTTTGGTGACAACCGAACCCGATTTAATATAAACAACACGCCTCCCTTCAAACCAAAGCGAACACGGAACTCGACAAAAAAGAAAGAGCTCCCCTGAAACCAAGCTAAAACCGGAACTCGTTTTCTAATATGCCCGCCCCAAACGCAGGTTTGCTAGTGCTGAACTGCGGTCGACTGGCAAATGACACGTCCACAAAAACCCAAGCAGGAAATGGGCGTGGAACGTGAGAAGCTGAACACGCCCTTAGATCGTGATGCCAAGAGCAGGAGTGAAACCTCCCCTAATCCCAAGGAAGCTTTGAACTTGAGAACTCAAACGCAGCTTCTCCCAGCTCCTGGGGACCGCAACCGCAACCGCTGCTTGGTTTCCAGGGGACTTTTTGGACAAACGACGCGTGCGGCAAGTTGGGACGTGGTCGCTTCATTTGGCCAAAGAAGTTCATGGCTTCTGCATGCCGCGAAAAGAGGCTTCGACAAAAAAGGGTGAAAGGAACTTGGGAAGTTGTCTCAAGAAAGATTCAAACAAGTGTGAAACTATATGTAAAATCTGAAAATGACTTGTACTTAGTAAACCAACCCACCCACCCACCCCCCTCCCCCCCCCCAAAAAAAAAGGACAAGCCGCCCACCCCTTCCGTTTTCGCGGACCTCGCCAAAAAAAAAGAGCACGAGGCCCCCCGCGCGCCAGCGCCCGAGCCGCGACATCTTGGCCTCCTGAACCGGTCTGAAGCCAAGAGCCCCAGGTGGCTCGTCGAATTTAAAGTTGGCCCCTGTTTTTGTTCCATGGACACCCACTGGGCAGCTGAGTTCTTCAAATGAGTTTGGTGCTACCCTCAAAACCCCACAAGGCTCCCCTCAGCCAAGAAAAACAAACATCTAGAGGTTGATTCCTTTTCCATTCTTTTCAGCCATCGTTCTTCTCAAAAACCGGATCCGTTTTCCCTGGCAGGGTGTCCGGAGGTTTTCTAGAAAGAAGGATCCCTGGAAAGAATGGGGAAGGTACCGCTAGAGTTTTAGACGGAAATTCGAAAGAAACCATGGGGTGCAAACCCATGAAAAAGAGACACACCCATATGGGCATGATTTTTTAAAGCTCCATTTGCTTAACTCCCATGGAACAATAATAAAACATGTCGGGGGACATAGAACACAAAAACTTAAGCAATTGGAAGTTAGCTAGGGACCCCAGAATTCGGTGACCCATGAATCCATTCAACCCCCCCCCCTCAGTTATCAATCAGGCGGGTCCCCCTAGAAGAAAGGACTCCCCGCTAAAAAGGGGCCCCCCCTCAAGAAGCAGGGGGAGTTTATGAATCAGGGGTCTGCAAGAAAAACATTCTCGGGACCCTCATGCCCTTCAAACCTTTTTCGTCAGCGTGGAAGAGGAGCCCATGCGCGAAACATGCCTGTGGGTCAAAAATAGGATAACCCCAAAATGGGTTGCCTTGCTAAATGGAACCAACCACTAAAACCTGCCGCAACCCCAGCTCTTGAATTTTGAGCCACACCCATATATGAGTTTGGACCAGGAGCTTTTACGTTGTTGATGTGACATGACTCACCTATTACCCTGGTGCCATTTAATTTTCTAGGTCCTCCAGTAGAGAGCTTACAATAAGGGTACCAACTTTTTTCAGGACGTCTATTTTAGTAGGTTTGAACCCTCCCGGGTTAAAAGGGCACGTAGCTGGGGCCATACCCACATGGCCATGGGTCAAAAGCTCGTACCCCCAGTGAACATCCCAATCCAACCACTAAAATCCCGACTAAAATGGGTGGTGCACCCACCCCAAACTGGTACGTGCGCGCATTCCACCCACCCATCCCACCCTAAAATTGTACCATTGACCCGTCCCACCCACCCCAAAATCTGTTCTAAAATGAGTGGTGAATTCACCACCAACCAAAATGGTATCCCATTGGTTTCGACCCATGCGCCACAGCCATCTCCTCCTCTTCCCGCGCTTTGCGATCCGCATCTTTGCCCGCAGCCACCAGGTCCAGCTCGTCTCGGCCCACCAGCACCTGGCGAGAATCGGTGCGGTTTGGGTGCGGTTTGGCTTAAGCAACCATCAAAATAAAAATAACAAAAATGACAACCCATCATTTTTGGAGGTCCCCCAAAACTAGGCTGCCCTCTTGGTGGCTGAAATCCTGAAACCCAAGCACTAAACCAACTAGGCTAAACCGGAAAACAATATCAGAAGTTCCAGTGTTCCAGTGTTCCATCGCCGATGCCACTGTCTAAGATAAGCCATCATACGGCCATACAGGTGCACAGGTGTCGCTCTTCTCCGACGGCGGTCACTTTAATCTTCTCGAGTTGGAACTCTCCAAAGGTGTCCTAAGAAAGTGACGGTCATTCTTGCCACCCAGCCAAGCGAACACTATGGGACCGGATGGCGAGTCACCCCCACCCCCTGTGGCCAAATGAATCGGGCGGGGTAAAAAAAAGCAAACGGGTCTCTGAATCAGTGCGCCGGGGGGTCTGAACTGGCTTGACCTCTCGGCTGGCTCGCCTTTTCTTCGGGAGATCCCCTGCCGATGGTGGTTTCCAAATGCGGCACCCTCAAAAAAGCGAAGCCCGCGTGAACCCCGGGTCCGAACCCCAAGTTTCACGCTCAATGGACCTGGCTTTGATGGCTCAACCGGCAGCCTTGATGTGGCGCGCCCATTTCTCGACGGGCTCGCGACATCTGACTCCCCACGTCGGGGGTCCCGTGCTCGAGCCACAACTTTTGGTTGACTCCACTTGAGAAACCAGGTGACTCAGAATCAAGACCTGGTACACAAACGGCAAAGACCCAGAACCACACTTCAAGAATTGTTGAAACGGCGGCTGCACCTCCACTTCATTCATGTAAACATAGTATTAGTCATCCCCCCTATGAAACCCCCTATACTTAGCAACAACTACCCGGGATTTGCCTGTAACTCAGGTTGAACCCCGCTGGCCACAGCCTTCCGGCCCAATCCCCGACAGCGAAACGTCCCCGCCGCCGGCCTCCCGAGCTTTGGCCTAGCCATGGGAAACGCATGTGTGCGGAATGTGTGGCCCGAAGAAACCGCCAAATGTGTGTGTGCGCGCGCGAAAGTTTTCTGTTTGCTTGCATGTGTTTCTGCTTGTGTGTGTGTACGTGCTTGTACGTGCGTGGGTGCATGCGTACGTGCGTACGTGCGT